GTGTGTGTGTGTGTGTGAGTGAGAGAGAGTGTGTGTGTGTGTGTGTGTGTGTGTGTGAGAGAGTGTGTGTGTGTGTGTGTGTGTCTCTTTATTATTAGTTACCGATTCGTTTTTTCTGGTATTTATTTCTCTGGTTTCCGTTCAGAGCTGAGAAAAGCAGCAAACCACCTACAGCACGATATCAGCGCTCACATCAACCTCACAGATACACACACATACTGTATACACACACACACACACACACTGTACACACACATACACACACACTCACATGCATGTTCTGCCTGTATGCAGTGTGTGAATGTATTAATTAACACTTTAGAATAACGAGTAACTAGGCTATGCAGGAAGTAATAGGTAGTTCTACATTAACACTGAACTAACTAAGATGAAGCAAGATTAACTAAGCAGTAAATAATAGCAGATTTAGGACAAAGGTAGTTCATTATTATCTATTCGATAATAATTACTAAACAAAAATACCCTCATTGAGAACTGACAATGACATTTGTTTTTACAATCAGAGTTCTGAAACAAATTTACGGTAGGATTTACCTTAAAACAGTTACAAAAAACGACTAGGAACACATTAAACTTGAAATGTTGAAGTGGAAAGACTGAAATAGTATTTTCTTATAAAAGACGCTCCAAAGATCTTTGTATTCTAAAAATATTTTTTCCATGGCAAAAAACAGACTCAGATCAAGTCGTTCTTCATCACACTAGCAACAAAACAATCCGCTAAAACAGCTCAAATCTCACACTGTGTGCTTCTGCAAATGTCTTTATTAAGCAGGAGTGTTTCTCGTTTTCATTACAGCACAGCAGTATTCCTCAGTTTAGTAGAAATGAGAATGAAGTTGTAAGACTAACGCTGTGTAGGTGTTCCGCTGCATCCAGTAGTTTCAGGAGTATTTCGTTCTTTAGATGTGTAATGTGTTTCACTCTGGTATTACTGCAGGAATGTGTCTGGTTGAGTTTAGTGTTGAACTGGTTTGTGATGAGCGTGTGAACGTGTGAAGTGTCCCGTAGACTGATTGGGTTTTGGAGTGAGATCAGAGTTGATGTGGTGTATTTACTGTACCTCTCTTGTGTGTGCCGCCAGAGTTCTTGTTAGAGATGATGAAGATGATGAGAATAACTACTCCTGTGATCAGTAAATCACCAAATATGATGACCGTGGCCTTCACCCTGCTCAGCTCATAGCAGTTCTCACACACTGCCGGAGAGAAAGAGTGAGAGGATTAGTATTAGTATTATTATAAAGCACATTCTGTGTGATGAAGAGAAGTGTGTTTCGGGACGAAGGCTCCTCACCCTGTACTCTGAGGTAGAACACATGCGTTATATCACCATATTTACAGCTGTAGAATCCTTCAACTCTTCCCTGATCAGCTTTAACTTCAAGTGTTGCATTGGTTTGGCCTGCAATTCCGTTTTTGCCCTTAACCCACGATACTGCACCATCCTCACCTCCAGAGCAAAGGATAACGACACCATCTGATTTGATCTCGTGTATTGCTTTGACAAAAAAGATGAAATGAGCAAACAACATAAGAACCGTGAAACATGACGTGAAGCGTTCGTTCTCGTCAGCTCAGATAATAACTGCAGATGAAGGATGAACCGATCTCACCTTGACCCTGAGCTGGATTCACAGCCGCGGCGAGCAGCAGACACATGAAGCTGATGAGAATCATGGCTTCTGATGATTTAATGTCCTGAAGTGAATGTGAAACAGTCTCACACGCAGCGTCTCTGTCTCTCTGTGTGTCTCTGAGTTTCTCTACAGGAAGAGGAAACCTCAAACGCCTTTCAATTGCCCTCATTCTCTTGTTCTGCTCTGTTTGATCATTTCTCTGAGAAACTCTTCAGGCTCCTCTATGACTTCATTAAACTCAAATATATTAAATATATATACTGTATATGAAAACCTTCTGCATCGCTCAGACCATTAAATCGTCTTCTCTTGATGGTTTATGATACGAATGTTTCTGTGAGATAATAGAATTTTATTTTATTTCTACTGTGACCCCCAAAAGCTCTAAAAGGATGATGTCTTTCTTTAGACTTACAGCATTACAGCACTGAAAAGAAAAAATAAAGTGAAGTTAATGAAAAGATCCTGCAGCATTCGAGAAACTCGATCTGATGATCTGTAGATACAAATATCTATATTATTTCTTATTCTATATTCTATTTCACATCTCTATCAACACATGTAGGCCAGTACAGATACACACACACACTCACACACACACACACACACACACACACACGTGTGTGTGTGTGTGTGTGTGTGCGAGTGTGCGAGTGTGAGAGTGTGTGTGTGTGTGTGTGTGTGTGTGCGAGTGTGTGTGTAATTCAAAAGGCTTAAAAACCATACTAAATGGTGTTTTTTTTTTAATCTAAAAATGCAGAAAGTTTTCTGTGAGGGATAGGTTTAGGTGTAGGGCGATAGATTTTTATACTGAACAAACCGTATATTCTATCACCCTACACCAACCCTACCCCTCACAGAAAACTTTCTGCATTTCTACAATCTCAAAAAAACTAATTCTGTATAATTTATAAGCTTCTGTACCCCTGGGGACCTCAATTTAGGTCCCCACAGTGACACAAGTGTCCATTAGTCTGTGTGTATTCAGGTTTAAATCCCCCCCAGTGTAGAAAACCCTATACACACTCAGACACTACTGTGTAAATGGATGCGAGCATGAACAAATGCTGGTTGATTCGAGAGAATGTGTTCAGTGTATGCTGTGGTTATAGTGACAGCGGAGCCCCTGAAGCGCATCGGCGCCCTCTAGTGTTCAGAGCGCTGCAGCGGTCACGTGATCCACTCGATTTCAGTCAATAAATCATCGCATCTCAGTCCTTTTCATAAAACTCATTTCTCCTTAGTAAGAACAGATCTAAAGCAGCCCTCGTCTCAGAATACCCACAATCACGAGAGCACGTGACGCTTTCAGAATTCCTTTAAATTCTTCGATTTATCTGAGCTCAAATAGCTGTCATTCAATTGATTTAATGAAAATGTGATCGATTGTCAATATAATCTGACATAAAATCCTTTCAGACACACAGAGAGAGTTTATATCACACTGATGTATCATAACTGATGTGATATACATTATGAAGTCGCACATGCATGAGTGCACTGGGTGTAAAGTGTTTAACACTGAGTTTTAAGAGCTCAACAGGTGTTGAGACAGTGATAGGGATCTTGGGCGGGTTTCAGTCAGTGGTGTCACTTCCGGTCTCACCTGTCGGGCAGGTATCAAACATGGAGGACAAATACAGACCTGCGACATAAACGCGACTCATACCTGCTCAGATATCTGCTGATACTCACTCATAATCCCTCGCATGTGGTCATATATGTCCAGTTATTTGTCATGGATGTGAACGGAAGCTCGTTTAAAGCAGGATTATCGTGTCTTGTCGTCGGTTTCGGTGAGTTCTGGGAGTTTTTATTCGGTCAGTTTGAAACGGGATAATAAACAGTTTGAACGTGTTTTATAAACGGGTTTGAGGGAGTTTATTGCTTCGGAAGGACTATAAATTTGTCACTTTGAGATCCGTTGAGTTTGTTTTGCTTTCTGTGTGTGTGTGTGTGTGTGTGTGTGTGTGTGTGTCTGTGTGTGTGTGTGTGTGTGTGTGTCTGTGTCTGTGTCTGTGTGTGTGTGTCTATGTGAGTGTCTGTCTGTGTGTGTGTCTCTGTCTGTCTGTCTGTCTGTCTGTGTGTGTGAGAGAGTGTGTGTCTGTGTCTGTGTGAGTGTCTGTCTGTCTGTCTGTCTGTGTGTCTGTGTGTCTATGTGTGTGTGTGTGTGTGTGTGTGTGTGTGTCTGTGTGAGTGTCTGTCTGTCTGTGTGTCTGTGTGCCTATGTGAGTGTCTGTCTGTGTGTGTCTGTGTGAGTGTCTGTCTGTCTGTCTCTGTGTGTGTGTCTGTGTCTGTGTGTGTCTGTCTGTCTGTCTGTCTGTGTGTCTGTGTGTCTATGTGAGGGTCTGTCTGTCTGTCTGTGTGTGTCTGTGTGAGTGTCTGTCTGTCTGTCTGTCTGTGTGTCTGTGTGTCTATGTGAGGGTCTGTCTGTCTGTCTGTGTGTGTCTGTGTGAGTGTCTGTCTGTCTGTCTGTCTGTGTGTCTGTGTGTCTATGTGAGGGTCTGTCTGTCTGTCTGTGTGTGTCTGTGTGAGTGTCTGTCTGTCTGTCTGTCTGTGTGTGTGTGTGTGAGAAAAGACGAACTGTCAATCATCTGCCGTGTGTAAATATCATATGTGACAACCACCGACGATTGCGCTGAATCCTGCAACGAGCTTTTGCCATTACTTTGTCTCCATCAATATTAAATAAAAAGGACTAGAAAATATTGAGATGTTTGTAAGGGAGTATCTGTTTTTATGATCATCACACACGTCGTTTTAAAATCCCACTTAATTTCATTCACTGTCACTTGTGATTCTTATTTGAACATCACTAGCCTTTACACTGAAGGTCATATCAAAAGACTCTTTACACACACGTATTATTAGTTTAGATGAGACGAGACATGTGACGTCACGCTGTGAGATCACGGCTCGTCCCAGAAGTGACGTCATCCGATGATCTGAAGCTCTTACACGCATTGATGCTGTTTTATTCACTGGATCTTCAGTCATCTGTGTTTCTGGCTCTGCTTGTTTTGCAGATGCATGGACTGACTAGTCTTGGAAGATAGCAATGCTTTTCTTCTGTAAGACTAGTCATAACTTTAAGTAAATTACATAAATAGATTGGTCTAATTTAAATCCAAAAACTATGACTAATTATTCCTTGGTGAGTTGCTAGTTATAAAGACACAGTAGTGGATGTGTTTATACAGCTGACCCCTGTTACGTAACTGAGTCTAGTCAGTCTAGTGAACTGAGATTTAACTATATTCACTCATTTATAGCTCTAGTGTTTGATATGATATCAGAGAATTTGCAGTTTATGACTTTTATTGTTCTGAGGAACTGAACATTAGATATGACAGGTATCTGTCATCACCGTTTACAGCATAACAATATACACTAATGACAGAACTACGGTAGTGTACAGAGTAGTGTGTGCAGACTGAGTGTGTGAAGATCAAGTGTGCACAGTGTTTGTAAACATTGAATATGCGAACAGTGAGTGTGTGCCGTGAGTATGCCAAGAACGCCAAATGTGTGCAGTGAGAGTGTGAGTGTGAACACTGAATGTGTGCAGTGAGTGAGTGTGAACATCGAGTGTGTGCAGTGAGTGAGTGTGAACACTGAATGTGTGCAGTGAGTGAGTGTGAACACCGAATGTGTGCAGTGAGTGTGTGAACACCAAATATGTGCAGTGAGTGTGAACACCAATATGTGCAGTGAGTGTGAACACCAAAATGCGCAGTGAGTGTGTGAACATCGAATATGTGCAGTGAGTGTGAACATCGAGTGTGTGCAGTGAGTGAGTGTGAACACTGAATGTGTGCAGTGAGTGAGTGTGAACACTGAATGTGTGCAGTGAGTGAGTGTGAACACTGAATGTGTGCAGTGAGTGAGTGTGAACACTGAATGTGTGCAGTGAGTGAGTGTGAACACTGAATGTGTGCAGTGAGTGAGTGTGAACATCGAGTGTGTGCAGTGAGTGAGTGTGAACACCGAATGTGTGCAGTGAGTGTGTGAACACCAAATATGTGCAGTGAGTGTGAACACCAATATGTGCAGTGAGTGTGAACACCAAAATGTGCAGTGAGTGTGTGAACATCGAATATGTGCAGTGAGTGTGAACATCGAATATGTGCAGTGAGTGTGAACATCGAATATGTGCAGTGAGTGTGAACATCGAGTGTGTGCAGTGAGTGTGTGAACATCGAGTGTGTGCAGTGAGTGTGTGAACACCAAATGTGTGCCATGAGTGTGTGAACACCAAATGTGTGCCGTGAGTGTGAACACCAAATATGTGCAGTGAGTGTGAACACCAAAATGTGCAGTGAGTGTGAACACCAAAATGTGCAGTGAGTGTGTGAACACCAATATGTGCAGTGAGTGTGTGAACATCGAATATGTGCAGTGAGTGTGAACATCGAGTGTGCAGTGAGTGAATGTGAACATCGAGTGTGTGCAGTGAGTGAGTGTGAACACCGAATGTGTGCCGTGAGTGAGTGTGAACATCGAGTGTGTGCCGTGAGTGAGTGTGAACATCGAGTGTGTGCCGTGAGTGAGTGTGAACATCGAGTGTGTGCCGTGAGTGAGTGTGAACATTGAGTGTGAACATCGAGTGTGTGCCGTGAGTGTGTGAACATCGAGTGTGTGCCGTGAGTGTGTGAACATCGAGTGTGTGCCGTGAGTGTGTGAACATCGAGTGTGTGCCGTGAGTGTGTGAACATCGAGTGTGTGCCGTGAGTGTGCGAACATCGAGTGTGTGCAGTGAGTGTGCGAACACAGAAGGTGTGCAGTGAGTGTGAGTGCAAACATCGTTTGAGTGCAGTGAGTGTGCAAACATTGAGTGAACACCTATCCTTACTGATGTCTCTGTGTCAGTGCTGTTGAGGAGCGTGTGTAGTATCTCCGTAAAGGCTCCAGCAGAGATCAGCGTGGTCAGAGGAGCCACCGTCACCCTGTCCTGCTCCTTCACCTCCTCCAGTTCCATCACCAGCCTCATGTCCGTCGACTGGACCGTCAGACACGAGAGCAGTGGTCCTGCCATACTGGTGAGTAGATCTTAAGGCTTTGAGTTCATAATGCATGAATCACTGGTCAGGAGTCACTCAGGCCGCAGGAAGTCACATGAGTAGGATGTGTGTTCTGTGGTGAGACCACAGCATCCATCAGGAGTGACTTCATAAAGCTGTGCATGATGCAGGAGACAGCGATGCGAGCCAACACTCGTGCAGTGTGAGACGTGGCTGTGCAGTAAAACGACTGGTTTATTTCAGCAGTGTAACATCAGCTCAGCTGTTCTCAGGATGGTTTGGTGTTTCCAGTCAACCGGTGAGTGTGTGTGTGTGTGTGTGTGTGTGAACATCGAGTGTGCAGTGAGTGAATGTGAACATCGAGTGTGTGCAGTGAGTGAGTGTGAACACCGAGTGTGTGCAGTGAGTGAGTGTGAACACCGAATGTGTGCAGTGAGTGAGTGTGAACACCGAATGTGTGCCGTGAGTGAGTGTGTGCAGTGAGTGAGTGTGAACACTGAGTGTGTGCAGTGAGTGAGTGTGAACACCGAATGTGTGCCGTGAGTGAGTGTGAACATCGAATATGTGCAGTGAGTGTGTGAACACCAAATGTGTGCAGTGAGTGTGTGAACACCAAATGTGTGCCGTGAGTGTGTGAACACCAAATGTGTGCCGTGAGTGTGAACATCGAATATGTGCAGTGAGTGTGAACATCGAGTGTGTGCCGTGAGTGAGTGTGAACATCGAGTGTGTGCTGTGAGTGAGTGTGAACATCGAGTGTGTGCCGTGAGTGTGTGAACATTGAGTGTGAACATCGAGTGTGTGCCGTGAGTGTGTGAACACCAAATGTGTGCCGTGAGTGTGAACACCGAATGTGTGCCGTGAGTGTGAACACCGAATGTGTGCCGTGAGTGTGAACACCGAATGTGTGCCGTGAGTGTGAACACCGAATGTGTGCCGTGAGTGTGAACACCGAATGTGTGCCGTGAGTGTGAACACCGAATGTGTGCCGTGAGTGTGAACACCGAATGTGTGCCGTGAGTGTGAACACCGAATGTGTGCCGTGAGTGTGAACACCGAATGTGTGCCGTGAGTGTGAACACCGAATGTGTGCCGTGAGTGTGAACACCGAATGTGTGCCGTGAGTGTGAACACCGAATGTGTGCCGTGAGTGTGCGAACATCGAGTGTGTGCCGTGAGTGTGAGAACACAGAAGGTGTGCAGTGAGTGTGAGTGCAAACATCGTTTGAGTGCAGTGAGTGTGCAAACATTGAGTGAACACCTATCCTTACTGATGTCTCTGTGTCAGTGCTGTTGAGGAGCGTGTGTAGTATCTCCGTAAAGGCTCCAGCAGAGATCAGCGTGGTCAGAGGAGCCACCGTCACCCTGTCCTGCTCCTTCACCTCCTCCAGTTCCATCACCAGCCTCATGTCCGTCGACTGGACCGTCAGACACGAGAGCAGTGGTCCTGCCATACTGGTGAGTAGATCTTAAGGCTTTGAGTTCATAATGCATGAATCACTGGTCAGGAGTCACTCAGGCCGCAGGAAGTCACATGAGTAGGATGTGTGTTCTGTGGTGAGACCACAGCATCCATCAGGAGTGACTTCATAAAGCTGTGCATGATGCAGGAGACAGCGATGCGAGCCAACACTCGTGCAGTGTGAGACGTGGCTGTGCAGTAAAACGACTGGTTTATTTCAGCAGTGTAACATCAGCTCAGCTGTTCTCAGGATGGTTTGGTGTTTCCAGTCAACCCCACATGTAAATGGAGCATTGTGTTGTGAACACCACTGTTCTTTCTGAATCAGCTCATTCAGATCCTTTCATTTAATCTATCACTGATTCTTTCATTAAAGTCCTTGTGAGTTTTTTATGTCGTCTTGTTTGTATTCTAGTATTTAGTTAGGTGTTTAGAGAAATAATGCAGTACTGTCTGGCAGTGATTTTCCGGTTCTGAATCACACTTCACTCCAGAGAATAGTGTGTCTCTCATCAGCACTGCAGGCTCATAGCAGAATATGAAAAACATGTTTGTATTGAGTCCATGATCTGTTTCTCTGCAGTTCTTTCACTTCTCGTCTCAAGCGTACCTGCCGAATGAGGATTATTTTAAGGGTCGTGTGAAGTGGGTCGGCAGCCCGTCGCGCGGCGAAGCATCAATCCAGCTGCTGAACGCCTCGCTCACTGATAACGGCACATACACCTGCGCCGTACGCAACCCTCCTGATGTCCACGGACACCCGGCCCAGACCGTCCTCACGGTCACACCGCAGAGTGAGCCGACACACATGATCATGAGCTCAGAGGAGGATCTCATGAACACGTGCAGGTCACGTTTCACCCCTCAATCTGCCTGTTTGGATTCAGTCTTTTAGCATTCTGGCACTGTTTTCTTGAGAATTAAGCACATTTGAACTAAAGTAAATTGAAAAATGTTCCTGTTTATTCATGAGATGCTGCTTTAAAGGAATAGTTAATATAAACATGAACATGTGCTGAGAATGTGCTCCCCCTCAGGTCATCAGAGATCAGGATGAGTTTGTTTCTTCATCAGGTTTGGAGAAATGTAGCACTGCATCAGTGTCTCAGCAATGGATGCTCTGCAGTGAATGGGTGCCGTCAGAATGAGAGTCTGATAAAAACATCACTCCAGTCCATCAGTTAACATCTGGAGAAGACAAAAGCTGAAACTAATCCAGCATTAAGACGCTTTTAACTCAAATACATTGAGTCCATAATCCATAATAACTCTTCCTCCGGTGAAAAAGTGTTCTGGTGTGAATCAGGAGAGAAATCTGCACAGATCAAGCAGCGTTTAAACACATATGTGGCTGGATTTTGATGCGATAGACAACAGCAGATGCACTTTTTCACTGGAGGAAGCGTTATTATGGGCTTTATCTTATAAACACACAGCTTTTGGCTTCACAAGTGAAGTAATGCTAAATTTCACTACGTCTGTTAAAATGAAGAAACAAACTCATCTATATCTTGGCTGGCCTGAGGGTGAGCACATTTTCAGCACATTCTTATTTTTGGCTGCACTATTGCTTTAACAGTCTGTATTGTATAAAGTGCTATACAAATAAAGGGTTGACCAAAAAAATGTTCATTGATGACACTTAAGTAGATGTAGATGTATGCATTATAATATTTGTTAAAGTGAACTGGATTTTATTCAGTAATGTACATGTGCCGTAATGAGCTTGTGATTTTCATTACACTGAGGAGAATTCGGAAGAAATGTGTTTAATTGTCATGAATATAATGTCGCAATGCATCCGAAAATAAAAAGTTGGCTTTTTTTTAAATTCTGGTTTTATTTTTAATGGGGTGAAATGAAATATGACCTGGACACTCCTCCTGAGATTCACCCGGACACAGTATAATCTTGTTTTACTGCGTGTTGAGCGTGTGCCATCTGTGTTTCCGTCAGGACGCTCGCTGGCGTTCACGGATGTCGGCGTGCTGCTGGTGTTTGTTCTGGTGCCGTCAGGAATCATCACGCTGGTGCTGCTGGGTCGAATCCTGTGTCCGTGCTGGTCCGTGTCAGAGAAGAGTCCCGCCGCGGCCCATCACTCGTCCATCGAGGAGGCCTCTGGGTAAGAAACTGATGAAACCAGCAGTTCAGAGTGGTGTTATATGTGAGTAATGACTGCATCTGTTCACAGGGATGAGCGTTTCTACGGCCAGACGCAACAGAAACACACCCAGTGCTGCTGCTACTTTAAGGTGAACGACCCTCTGTAGTGTGGATGAGATATTTAGATGATAAACGTGTCTGTGTTTGTTGGATTGTAGTGTTTATTCAGACTTAAAACTGATGCGTTCATAACTGATGAACTTTGCAACACTGACACTGTTATTGAACTGATCTGAATCAACACTGAACTGAATTATGACACTATAGAGTGCATTAATGCTGCCAACGTTTTCAGCAGCGCTGTTTCCGGAAGTATTGTTCCCGTAAGGATTTTTAAAAAGTCTTCGTAAAAGCGTAAAACCAATCAGACACGAGGAGAACCACAACATTACAAACTTTGATTTGAAGCAAAAAGTAAATGGAAATCAAACAGAAAGGCAAAGATTGTGAGCTCAATAGCTTTGGTGAGGGAAAGAACTACAATCCCATGAAGCATTGCGAATTACAGAATTGAAATAAAAATGACAGAAATATAAAACTATTACATTTAAATTGTTGGTTGTGTCTATAGAAACGTTATATTTTAAGTTAATTGCCGAGTAGGCATGTATACACAAGTATTTAAGGAATTTGAGAGAGTAGAGACTTGATTAATTAGTGGGGCGGAGCTAGATATCTCTTGCTTTGTTCACTGCTACTCTCTGATTGGTGGAATATTTCTGTACAGCATCATGGGAAATGTAGTTTTTCACCATGAATTCTGCTATTAAGCATGATTACTTCAAAAAATAAGTTAAATTCATGCAAACAGATGAGAACATCCTTGGCGCTCACAACAGGCCTGCCTGTAAAGATCTGTTATTGTTAAAAATCAGTTTCCTTAGAGAAAATAAATGGAGTTTGTTCATCTGGAACTGACTCTTGTGCTCTGTTGTGTTCTGCAGTTTCATAATTGATTAATTTTGCAACATTAACACTGTTATATTTCTCTCTATTTCTGTGACGCTGCTTTGAGACGATCTGTATAAAGCTCTGTAGAAATAAATGTGACTGTGGTGTTTGTTTCAGGACTTTGAATATGAGGACGACTACATGCATGAGAAACCGCGTGAACACACCTTCACCGAGTCACAGTGTTAGACCAACGACTGTGTGTGTGTGTGTGTGTGTGTTTTGCATGGATGAAGTTTACTAAACCCCAGACACCATTGTGCTGATGAGACTTCCTGTTTGAGTGGGTGATTTTGGTAATTTCTGACATTGTTTAATGGACTTTGTTACTGTAATCTGGCTTAAATGACTATTGAAGCGGAGCTGACTGGACATCAGTGATTCTGCACACAGCTTCACCTCAGACGGTCACATGATCACTCTCGGGAGAGATTCGAGCGTTCTGATTGGCTGAGATCTGATGTGTATGTGCTTGTTACTCTGATGTACAGATCCTGTTTGTTTAGATAAATATGAAATATAACTTTAACATTATGAACTTTAACATTATCTTTGATCCGTGTCTCATGTAACAACCATCATAGAACAACGTGAGCATCTGTAAGTCTGTCGCTGTTTGCTGCTTCTGGCATTTTCTCCATTCCTGTTGGAGGCTTTATTACTGACGGTGACGCTGCTGATTTCAGCTGTTTAATTAACGAGAAAGCTTTCAGTGAATGCTGAAATATGACCATGTTCATTAATTTCCATGCACTGTACAGCAGGTTGATCCTCTATAATAGCTTTGAATGCAGGATGTTTGTAACTCGCTAAACAGGGTTTAACTGTTTTCACTATTTTTTTATCGTATTAAGTATTAAGGTCAAATATATTGTAGTATAATGAACAAAATATAAATAAAGAGCATTTAAATTAAACACACAAATCTCTGATCTGAATCTTTTGTGTAGAGGGAAAGTGAGTTCACTGAGATGGTCATCATGTCACATTTATTGGCATATTTTTGCTTTTTTCGTTCACATGACGTGATGAAATATGAGGATGATTAAAGGAAAGCTGCTAATGGTTTTATTTTCTTTGGCTGATGTCTTTTATCAATGTGATCGGTTCATTATTGGTTCTGATTTTTCCTGCCCAGCATCCCGATCCTCCAGGTTCTTTAGTGGATGTGAAACCATTCTGAGGAGGTTTTTTTGATGCTTTGACAAATATCTTACAGCCCAGTGTGAGTCGCACCTCTCTGATCATCCACAAGAGTGAGTGTGTGTGTGTGTGTGTGTGTGTGTGTTAGTCATCCCTCTGGCCTGTTGCCATGGAGACGGAGCATCAGCAGCATCTGTGGGGTCTTGTCACACACACACACACACACACACACACACTAGAGGGAGAGATGGATGGAGTTTCTCCGTCAGCTGGAGTCAGAGGATGCTGTTTCCGTGTGGTTGCCTTGGCAACAGTTGCCGATCTGATCGGGGGTGGAGGTGCAGTTCGTTTAGGGTGTCTGATGCAGACTGAAGGTATCCGCTCTCTCTCTCACACACACACACTCTCACACACACACACACACGCGCACACACACACGCACGCACATTCTCTCTCACACACACACGATCTGAATCAGCAAAATGCAAATGCACTGCAGTCTCAGAGGAAAGCATCGTTCACGATCCGTCGCACTGATTACTGAGACACACCTGTAGCACAAACACCATCAAACACACACAACGCTGAGCTGAAACTCCTGACAGGACAGAGATCTTCATCACGTCAAAGAAAGGGTGTCTATTATAATAAATGGCACACACTGCTCATGAATATTCATGAGGACACACACATGCTCTATTGTGTGTTTTGTATTTAACATTTTACTCCAGCGGAGTGTCGCAGATCAGCTTTCAGGACTGCGTGTCAAACCCCAAACCTAAGCTGTTCCTGTTCCACCTTGAGGTCCATCAGTAATTATATCATCATAAAGTAGATCTGTTGGCTGTAAGACTTCTCTTTAATTGATTAACTGTCTGTTGTTTTTAGCTATCCACTTTATGGGCACGGGGGTTTGTACACTTGATGTGTCTGGCTTCCGGTTTCATCCGCTTCCAGCTATTTTTAGCTGTGCAAAACAGCTGGTTTTGCTGCTTGATATTGCAAATTGGTGTGTCTTACCATATTATTTGAATGTATTATCTTAATTATGAACACACTGGTTTGTAGTGCAAACAGTTTTACTGTTTACTGCTCGTTGTTGTTCATCTCGTTATTTCCTTCAGCGGCTAAAGAACCGGAAGTCTTGCCCATAGCTTACTTCCATCGTTTCTTGAATGATGGCAGGGCTTGATTTTGTTCAACGGGAATTGATTGATGGGAAAAAATGTCCATTTTGATTTCATGGTGACTTTAAGACATTTGTGTAGAACGTTTCACAATGCAAGATGTTTCAAAGCTGATTTTCAGAAGATTGTTCAGTCGAATATGATTCACTCGCCCTCCTATTGTTCCAAACCTGTACGAGTTTCTCTCTTCAGTGGAACACGAATGATATTCTGAAGAACGCTGGGATCCCACTGACTCTCAGTGTGTGGACAAAAACCACTGGGACGTCTTCCTTTATGTTCCACAGGAGAGGGAAAGTCAAACAGCTTTCCAAGCATCAGTGAGCGTGCCGTCAACAATCAGTATTCAAGAGGAGCTTGAATTCAGGATGCTGACCTGTGACCTCTGCATCTCTGACCTCTTGTACTGGTGTCAGTTCGTGGGACGGATCCTAAAATGACAGCAAACGAAGGCGTGAATCACCGAGAATCAGTCGACATCATTCATGCAGCCCCTCATCGATGCACCTGATTGATTTCTGCCATTGATTTCCCTGCTAATGAGTTTCCTCTCTTCTATAATTGATGAATTTACAACACTGTTTATCTGTCTAATTCTGTGAAGCTGTTGGTGTATAGCATTACATGTGTGTGTTTCAGAGATGCTGTTATGAGCGAAGGTGAATAAGTGTTTGAAGGCGTGGGTGGTTTGACCTTCACAGACGCAGAAGAACAAGAAGATGATGTTTTAACGTCTCGAGAACAGCGCGCAGCTCTGATGAAGATGTTCTGCTGGGGGCCGAGAGAGTCCTGGAGGAAGCGGCTGCTCGAGAGAAGGGGCCCCGAGGGGCGACTCAGAGCTCTTATCATGTGAACGGCGCTCTGGAGGTACACTGCAGCCTTAATGTGGCCCGTTCCTGCATCACAGTCCCGCACAAAGCTCTACTAACCCACAAGCAGCAGCAGCGGACAGATCACCTCTATTCAATCATTCATGCGGAGAGGGAGGGAGGGAGGGAGAGAGAGAGAGAGAGAGAGAGAGGGACAGAGAGCAGAGAGTGTGTGCTCACTGTGAGACAGGAGAGATCGAGACAGAGACGCACTTCCTCCTTCACTGTCATAAATACAGACCCATAAGAAACATCTACTTCAACAAATTCACCCACTTAATAAAGAACTTTACAGCCATTAGTGAAACAGAACAAATAAAGATAGTATTAGGAGAGGGACAGAGAGAAGGGGCCCCGAGGGGCGACTCAGAGCTCTTATCATGTGAACGGCGCTCTGGAGGTACACTGCAGCCTTAATGTGGCCCGTTCCTGCATCACAGTCCCGCACAAAGCTCTACTAACCCACAAGCAGCAGCAGCGGACAGATCACCTCTATTCAATCATTCATGCGGAGAGGGAGGGAGGGAGGGAGAGAGAGAGAGAGAGAGAGAGAGGGACAGAGAGCAGAGAGTGTGTGCTCACTGTGAGACAGGAGAGATCGAGACAGAGACGCACTTCCTCCTTCACTGTCATAAATACAGACCCATAAGAAACATCTACTTCAACAAATTCACCCACTTAATAAAGAACTTTACAGCCATTAGTGAAACAGAACAAATAAAGATAGTATTAGGAGAGGGACAGACAGCAGCACTGGCTGCGAGATACGTGTGGATGTGCCACAGCCTGAGAGACAGCAGGTGAATGTGTGTGTGTGTGTGT